CGACCATCAACCCTCGACCCTCGACCCCTCGATGATCCTTGACCCCTCGACGACCCTCGACCCCTCGGCGACCCTCGACCCTCTACCCTAGTTTCTGACACCCTCGTTCCCGATAAAAAATAAGAAGAGGAAGAAGAAGAAAAAAAAGAGGAGAAGAAGAAGGAATAGAGGAGAAGAAGAAAAAATAGAAAAATCTATTTTTTCTTCTTCTCCTCTATTCCTTCTTCTTCTCCTCTTTTTTTTCTTCTTCTTCCTCTTCTTATTTGTTTTCTCCTCTTCTTCCTCACATCTTCTTCTTCTTCTTCTTCTCCTCATGTCGAAGTTATCGGGGAGGGGGTATATCGACAACGACGACATATACATAGAAAGAAAATGTTACCGGGGAGGGGGTATATCGACCCCCCCTCATGTCGAAGTTATCGAGGAGGGGGTATATCGACAACGACGACATATACATAGAAAAAATGTTATCAGGGAGGGGGTATATCGACCCCCCATCATGTTGTAGTTATCGGGGATGGGGTATATATATCGATAAAAATTACATCATCATATATCATCGAACCTAAAATGCACTAAATCGATCAACTAACCTAAAATTAGTGATAAAATGCACTAACCTAAAATCGATACCTACTAACAACTTAAATAAAAAATTAATACATATATGAAAAAAACATCATCGTATCATCAACATCATCATATATATCATCATCAACATATATGAAAAAATGCATATATGGGGGGGGCGGCCGGACCTAGCGCGGGGCGGCGCGGACCGGGGCGACGACGGCGTCGAGGCTGGGGAGGGCGGCGGACCGGGGCGGTGATGACGCGGTGTCAGCGTCAGGGCAGGGGCAGCGCGGCGAGGGCGTCTGGGCAGGGGCGGCGCGCGGCAATGACGTCGGGACAGGGGCGCGCGATGACGACGTCATGGCAGGGGCGCGCGCGGCGACGAGGGCATCAGAGGCAGGGCGCAGCGTCGTCGGGGTAGAGGGGCAGCCTGGCGGTGTCGTCGGGGCAGGAAGAAGTACTGAAACGAAATTTTCACAAGTGTTTTCTTATATACCCTGGGCATGGTACCGGTTCGTGGAACAAACCGGTACCAATGCCCCCCTTTGGTACCGGTTGGTGCCACTAACCGGGACCAAAGGCCTCTTTTCAGGCATTGGTACCGGTTGGTGCCACGAACCGGTACCGATGCCCATCTTTGGTACCGGTTGGTGCCACCAACCGGGACCAAAGGCCTCGTGCTGCCCGTGGCCAAAACCTTTAGTCCCACCTCACTAGTTGAGAGGGTGCGTAGTGGTTTATAAGCCCCACTGCCGCACCCCTCTCAAGCTCCTCTCCATTGCAGGCTTACGGGCCTAATTGTCACTGATATGCCTGATGGGCCTATCGGGCCTTCTGCGGGCCTGAATCCTGGCCCATGGTTGGGTTTCTAGTCGTATTCAGGCCATGGTGGCCGAGTAGGTGGCATTTTTTTTAAATTTTTCTAGTTTTTTTGTTTTTTGCATTATTTATTTTGTTTTGTTTTTTGCTTTATTTTCTAGTTCATTTTGCTTTTAGGTAATAAAAATTATAAACTTTCTGTTAGTGCCATTGTTTTCCAATTTGAATAGTTTAAATTTGAATTTTTTGAATTGTGTGAATCACTAGTTTTTTAATAACTTTACTATAAAAATAGATTTTTGAGTGATTCTTTTTCCTGCTATTTAATATTACTGTGTTTTATCATTATATTCAAAAATAGATTTTGTTATTTTAGTTTCTAACACAAAAATTCTTTATGATAATTCTTTTTGCTATTAAAGTTTCTAACAAAAAAATTCATTATGAAAATTCTTTTTGCTATTAAAGTTTCTAACAGAAAAAATTCTTTCTAAAAATTGTTTTTGCTTTTAATGTTTTGAACAGAAAATACTTTGATAATTTTGGTTGCATAAATTTTATATAATTTTAGTTTCAATAATACTACAAGTTTATAAAAGTTTTTTGAGTTGATTCCTTTTGCTATTGGACTTTTATAAAAGCTTTTTAGTTGATTCTTTTTGCTATTGAAAGATATTATAGTTTTGTTTTAGTTGATCATAACAGAATATTTTAAATGATTATTTTTAGTTCATTCTTTTTGCTTAAGTAGTGTGGCTCGGGCATTTCCATCGAACACCTCATGTGCATAGGAGGTGAGCTAGAGCACCACAAAGCCCTCCCCTCGCCGGTCAGAAAAAACAGAGCAGTGTGGAGTGCTCTGCTCGCCGGCAAGGGGGTATATATAGGCACATCATTGGTCCCGGTTCATGGCTTGAACCGGGACTAAAGGACACCCTTTGGTCCCGGTTCAAGCCACCAATCAGGACCAATGGTGGTGGGCCAGGAGCGAGACCCATTGGTCCCGGTTCATCCCGCCAACTGGGACCAAAGGGGCCAGACGAACCAGAACCAATGCCCCCACGAGGCCTGACAGGCCCCTGGCCTCACAAACCGGGACCAATGACCCCATGGGTCCCTGTTCGTGACTGAATCGGGACTAATGGGCTTATCTGGCCTGAACGAAAGCCCTGTTTTCTACTAGTGTGACCAAGGGTTTACATTCTCAGTTCTTCCTTAGTTTTCGGTAAAGTCATTTGCATCTAGTAAGCTACCCGTGCAAGTACTATTTTTTTAGGAAATGTTTGTTTTTGCAACTCTAGTTTTTACCAATTTGTATTATGCCACTTTAAAAATTGTCATTTCATTTTTGGCACTCTTAGCTTTTGATATTGTATCACAATGTCTATTTTGTGGCAAAAGAAAAAAATGTATTCATTTCACTTTTCTCATTCTTAGCTTTTGACAATGTACCATAATTGCCACTCCGAAAATTTTACTTTTGCCACAAAATGACAAATTATGATACATTATCAAAAGCTAGGAATGGCAAAAGTGAAATGTCAAATTTTAGAGTGGCATAAAGAAAATTGGGAAAAGTAAAATGTCCAATTTTAGAGGGGCATAAGAAAATTTGGCAAAAGCTGAAGTGGCAGAAACAAAAATTTCCCTTTTTTGGACGGGAAAGCCCTGTGGCGCACTTTATTAAATTGTGAATAAAGTTACATCGTTCAAAAGCTTATCAAAAAAGAACTGTGAGGATTACCATGGCAAGCTATTATAGAATTTGAATCAACAGAATATTGTGCTAACTCGTGCGCAACTTGATTAGCTTCCCGCAAAGAATGCTTGAAAGAGGACGATCCCATCTTTCCAGGCAATTAAGAAGATTTCTACTAGGACGGCAATATATGGACTCTAAATTTCGATGGATGGTTCTCGTGCATGATTGAGGGCCAATTCTTATGGTGGCTTCTAGAATAAACTGCAAAAAACTGCCCTTTATGCAGTTTATTCTAGAAGCCTAAAAAATTTTGTTGGGCTTCTAAAATAAGCTGGGTAGGGGCAGCTTATACTGGAAGCCCAAAAAAGCTAGCAAAGGAACTGACCCTGAATTAGCTCCTCCAGGAAGACAGATTCCGGCGTTGTTGGTGAACATGCCAATCTCTCCAAAAATTCCAGGCGTCTCAGCCCTGCTATACCTTCAGCGGTAGGGTTACTAGTGAAAGGGTTCGTTAGCTAACCACAAGATATTTTATACAACTAACTGTTGTTAGCTTGTTGTAATCTCGCAACAAACCTTGTACTACTAGTCATTATCACGCATGTCATTCCTCACCATTTCCCCAAAGTTAAAGCTCTTGCACATAAAATAACCATCAGAGCTGTGTTTTTGCGTGAAATTCATGTATTGTCACTACTTATAAATCCTGATTGACGTAAGAAAACTTATAAACCCTGATATATATATATTATTCAATCTAAAACCTTGCGATTTTAGGCGTGGCAGGGGTGGCAGGTGAGGCGAGACGGCTGAGACGTCTGCCTCGTCCCGGATGAACCGTTGAGTGCCGAATCAATATCCATGGGCTAACCCCATTTGACTTCATGTCCGGAGTGCTAACGACCCCGTTTCTGCAGATCAATCAATCAGCGGGATTAAATGAAAATCGGTTCCTGTAAACGGAATCAAAGGCGTTTGTCCGTTCCAAACAAACACTGTACCGACGGGGCCGCGCCGCACCGGAGGAGGGAATCACGGAGCAACACCAAGGTTTGAAGCCGGCCGGTGTAGGGTGTACCACCACAGCATCCATCGATCGAACGCATCTCGCGCATGACCACCCCCCTAATCCGGAGCCAGCAGCGCCTTTCCGCAACTGCCACATGACCCCCGCTGGCTTCCGCTCCATGCCTCCATCAACAACCCTACAGAAACACCACCCGTCCCCGTCCCCCCTCCGCACCGTGCTGTCAGTGCAGTCGTGCACCGCATCCCTCTCCCTCTCCCTAGTCCCTCCTGGCTCCGTTCCCCTCCCGCTGATCCAGGAGATCACCCCAGAGGCCAGAGAGAGAGAGAGAGCGGCAGTACTGGAATAGAAAAGGGAAACGGCGGGATCACTCGAGCGGTAACAGCGACTAGTATAAGCCGGGCGGGCAAGCCATTGGAGGAGTGCACACAAGAATCTCAGGGCGGGGGAGGGAGGAAGAAGACAAGGCCACTCCAACTGCCGCGGCTGCGGCTCTTTTTTTCACTTCTTTGGATCCCCTGACTGGGATGGTATCTTGTGAGACCGGCACAGGCTCTTGTGTTCTTGTTGTCGCCATTGTCTCCTCCCCAGGACCAGCCCAGGAGTAGAGAGAGAAGCTGAGAGAGAGAGAGGGGCTGAGCAAGAAGGAGAGAAGACAGAGGCCGACCCGCCGGGGGAGAGTGGGATACCAGGAAGGATGCGGTCAATGCCGGCGTCTCCATTGCCGCTCCTGACCCTCTTCATCATCTTCTTGCTGCCGCTGCTCTGCTGCCCGCTCGCGGCCAATGGAGGAGGGGCTCCGCCGCCCATGGCTTCCTCTCCGGCGGCTGCGGCTGCGTCCACGGCCGTCGGCGACCTCGTCTCCTCCAACGGCAGCGTCGCTGTGCCTCCGGCAGCCGCGGCGCCTGCTCCCTTTGGTAGGTCGGCAGCCAGCAGCGCAGCTGGATCAACGCTTTTTTTTTTTACCCCCGTGTTCATTGTCTTCTTGCAGCGTTGTTTTTTTGGGGTCCCTGATTCTTGCCCTGTGCTATCACATTTGCTCGCCTGTGGATGGCCTCTTGCCAAATTCAAATTTGGGGAAACATTCTCTTGCCTGCTTCGTCCTTCTTTCAGAGATTTCAGTGCTGATTTGGTGGGGAAGCCATTTTGGTTCATTGGGAATGGTGGGGAAAAGTGCATCTTATCTTGGGATTATTTGTCCCCCAAACTTTGAGCAAAGGAATCTTTTCCGTGAATTTCAGTGCAAACTTAATCCGAGCGCACAGTTTTCTTCTTTCTTTTAGAATGGTTGGAAAAATTACTACAGCTGCTGCACTTTGTGCTCATAAAACTTGTCGAAATCTGAGGGGAAGCGACGCAAGGATCCTGCTAAGATCGTTGCATTAAATTCAGTTAAAGTGTTGCTGTTTCTTTTGGGCTTAATGGCAAAAGAAGGTTTGGCTTTGGGGTGCTCCAATTTTTACTCCTGGAAAAGGTTGATCTTTGCAAACGCCCAACCAAACACCCCAAGTGCGTAACTACCATCCTCCATTTGCCTCCGTGTTGCAGTGCTCACTGTGGAACTGGAGGAAACGCACCACCATTTGCGCAGGCAGATTCTCATCGCCGTCGTCCTCGCTTCCATCGCCGGTGTGATGATCGTCCTCGCTGTGCTTTTTGCCTGCATCGCGTGGCGGCGATATCGCGGAGCTCCAGACGACTTCAAGGACACCCAAAGCACAGGTCTTGATGCTCTTCTTGCTCTGTGTTAATTGGTTCTGATGTATCTAAGTGAGTTAGCTACTGATGTGCTTGCATTTGTGCAGATACCCAAAGGATAGCATTGGTGCCAATCTTGAGCAGGTTCAACTCATTCAAGGCTACCAAGAAGGGCCTTGTGGCGATGATGGAGTACGCGTCGCTGGAGGCGGCGACGGGCAATTTCAGCGAGAGCAATGTGCTCGGGGTCGGTGGATTCGGGTGTGTGTATAAGGCCAATTTTGATGGAGGGTTTGTCGCTGCAGTGAAGAGGCTGGGGTGTGAGGGGCAGGAGTACGAGAAAGAATTTGAGGTGGTGATTGTGTTCTACAGTAGTTGTTTTCAGATTGTTGTCTGGTCTTGCTAAAAATGTTTTGATTGTTGTTGATTTGGCAGAATGAGCTGGATTTGCTTCAGAGGATTCAGCATTCGAATATAGTGTCCCTTGTGGGCTTCTGCATTCATCAGGAGAACCGCTTCATTGTTTATGAGCTGATGGTGAATGGATCACTGGAAACACAACTTCATGGTAGTATATATTCCCATTAAATTATCTCGAGTTCCTTGTCTGAAAAAATGGAAACTATATTGAGCTGTGAAGTTGGATAGGTAACAAGTATTGATAATATTTCTTAATCCGTGTGGTTGCATCTAGGACCATCACATGGATCAGCTCTAAGCTGGCACATTCGGATGAAGATTGCTCTTGATACAGCAAGGTACCCCATCTTGTGCTTTCCTTCATTCTTGTGATTAAGTGTATTATTTATATGCTTACGATTGGTTATCATAATATGCATCGGTAAACTACACTAACCAGGGGATTGGAGTATCTTCATGAACACTGCAATCCACCAATCATCCATAGGGATCTGAAGTCGTCTAACATACTTTTGGATTCAGATTTTAATGCAAAGGTATGACTGCTTATTTTAGTTCTGGTCAATTAAAATAGTACTATTGACCATAACTCATATCACTGAAAGGAAAAAGGAACAGTTCATTAATCGTCCGTCGGTGTGCAGATTTCAGATTTTGGCCTTGCAGTGACAAGTGGAAATCGCAGCAAAGGGAATCTGAAGCTTTCTGGTACCTTGGGCTATGTTGCCCCTGAGTACTTACTAGATGGTATGTTATGCCCTCTTTTTTCTTATGCCTCGGTCTGTGATTCTCTTTGTAGACTAAACCTTACTTAGAAGGGCGATGTTGTACTCTAATTACATGTAACCGCACTGAATTCAGGGAAGTTGACTGAGAAGAGCGATGTATATGCATTTGGAGTAGTACTTCTTGAGCTTCTTTTGGGCAGGAGGCCAGTTGAAAAGATGGCACCATCTCAGTGCCAGTCAATTGTTACATGGGTACACACTATTCTGATATGTGACATTTTGAAATTAGCTAGAATTGATCCAGTTAAACAGTGGGGAAATTCGCTAGAACACTTTAATTATTCACCGCCTGAATTCGGCAGATAAGTTCCATTCGCCTAATTCATTAGCATCTGACATATTTGGGTTTAAATTCAGGCCATGCCCCAGCTAATTGACAGATCCAAGCTCCCTACCATAATCGACCCTGTGATCAGGGACACGATGGATCGGAAGCACTTGTACCAAGTAATACCCACCACTGAAATTACTCATAACTGTTTCTTTATTTACATCTGTTGTCACAACTAACTAGTTTGATGTACTTCCCTACCTTTCAGGTTGCTGCAGTGGCTGTGCTCTGTGTGCAGCCAGAACCAAGCTACAGGCCACTGATCACAGATGTTCTCCACTCTCTGATTCCCCTGGTGCCCATGGACCTTGGAGGGTCGCTGAGGATCAACCCGGAGTCGCTTTGCACGACACGAAATCAATCTCCGTGCTGAGAAATAAAGACGAGAGGGGTACAATCCGTATGTGGCGATTCAGTGGGCTCACACCATCCAAATAGTTCAGATAGCCTGTGATGTTGAGTGCAGGTTATTGTTTCTTGCTCCAGTTGCCTTTCTTGGTGCTTGTCTGATGATGTGTTCCCCAACCTTATGAGACCTACACATACTTGTTGGTTGAGTTGATAGACTTTTCGGGTTCGCGAAGAAGAGGACCACACACCTGATCTTCCTCGCTGTATAGAGTTCATCTGTAATTTTTTCCTGTCCTTTTCTTTTTTCTTTGGCTCTGAACACCGCTGTATAGATTTGAAGATTTTCATACAATGAAAGAAATACTTGCCCAGTCAGCGTGCTGCATCTTGTTATCTGTAAAGTACCTAGTTTCTAATGCTTGCTTGATGCTTCGAGCTCGTTAAACCATCTCGAGTTGGCGTTTGAAGAATGAGCCATGAGATCAGTTGCGTGGCCCAGGCAGTTCTTTGTTACCCTTGTTCACACTCTTGTTTGTACTTCGTAGTAACCTACCATCAAATAGCTTGCTAGAAATGCATTCTGTACAAGTTGCAATATAAATGTTTTTTTTTCTTTCCAACGAGACCTGTCATCTCAGACAGAGATTTGTGAAGACTTCTTCTTTGGGTTGGCACTTAGTCACTGGATTAGACAAACCTTCATTGTTAATTAGGTGCGACGGCTGCTAGCGGTCCGCTTTCTGAACAGTATATATGACATGTACATGGAGTCTGGAGAATCTTAGAAAGAGGTTTCCTTAAGCAAGTGAATCTTATAAGGTTAGTTGAGTTGTGGGAAACAGTGGCGGCAAGAGGAGACCCGATCATGTGCGCATTAGGTAGGAAATGAAGATCTTATCATACGGTTGCTCTGTCATAGACTCATAGGCCGCACGAAAAAGCGCGCTGGGGGTATGCATGTCTGATTATATATGGGACAGATTCTCATTTAGAAGTTGGAGGGTCACACATTCATACTAGCTTTAGCAAGTAGCAGTGGAATAATGCAACAGTGTTGCTGTGTTCTTAAGCTGAATGTGTGAGGGGGCACTACAGTAGTCTCTTCAGGTCTTTCACTGGAATATACTGTATCAATCACTCTAACCTGAAAGCTGAGTGTTACGCAAAAAAAAAAAAAACCCTGAAAGCTGAGTGGGTGAGTGGGGTTCATGCTCGGTTCCATAATGTTCCTGCTTTTATTAGTTTGACAGCTAATTTCTCTCTCGTGCTTTTCTCGCTCAACCCTCCATGAGAACAATGTGCTCGCGACAGATTGCGGTATTTCACTAATGGAAGGTGCCATGCTTGCATACATGTGTGTGGTGTACACTTTTGTGGTAGTCGGGTGTTTAAAACAGATTGCGCATTGAAAGAAGTCTTTGAAATGGTTGGGTGATCATTAGGTACCCCACTAGTACCTTTGGTTCAACATTTCTTTCTTCTTTTATTTCAACAACCTCAAGTGCCAAAAGCAAAGGGAAATGCTAGCTGCTTGGCTTGCTTAGCTGTAAGATGTGGAAATCATGCATGCTTAGTGTCTGAAGTTCAGCCAAGTACTTGCATTGCATTTGGTTGAGGATTGCAAGCCTCGGTTACTTATTTTCTTTAATTTATTGGTACTTGAGAAAGAGCGAGCTTTACTCAGTTAGTGTAGGGCATTTGCGTGTGTGGCCAGCTTTCTTCGACGTCTTTGCATGGATCATTGTTGATGTCTCAACTCTCAAGAATCAAGCGGTGCAGGCAGTACAAGGTTTTCCAGAGCTCAAGTTTGTAAAGATTAGTTGGAACACCAGCATGGTAGTGCATACTATTGCGCATCTGCTAAAAATGAATTGGAATAGGCCAGTCATGATGACAATGTTGATCTTTAAGGGAAGGTGGTTTCAGAAGTAGAAAAATAGCGCAGGCTCTAGTTATGAATCTATTAAGTACTTACTGTTGTTGCAAAAAACAAGAAAAATGTACTCCCTCGACTTTGTACTGAATCAACGACAATTAATATGGATCGAAGGGAGTAGTAACTTATACTCCCTCCGTTCTAAAATAGATGACTCAACTTTGTACTAACTTTAGTATAAAGTTGGGTCATCTATTTTGGAACGGAGGGAGTAGGAAGTATCTCTCTTTTTTGCAGAAGAAAAATAAAAAGGTAGCAACTTATAGGAAGTACTCCATCTGTAAAGAAATATAAAAGCGTTTAGATCACCACTTTATATTTCTTTACAGAGGGAGTATCTCTTTTTAAAGAAAACTTTGAGAAGCAATCAAACTTTTTGATAACCTAAGAATGGTTCAGCGAGTTGATGACAATAAGATGACAGTGGCAACAAAGATCCTAAAATAAACTCGTCGCCTCTATTTTTCCTTTTGTATCTCCACATTCACAAAAGCCTCAAAATTTTCCTTTTGTGTCTCCACATTCACAAAAGCCTCAAATGAAGAAACACCGGAAAGCCAAAACATCACAAACCCTTGCATGGTAGGTTGACAAACTACTGCACTTTGCTTGCTTTATCGTTGGATCGGGCAAAGGAAATCCAAAAATCACATGCTCTAGCATGCTATCACAACCAAGCTAGGGTGGGACGAAGTTGGGGGATCTTCAATTTATTCGGCATGGCTTAAATCATTGAGACCCGGTCGTCAATGATATTGATTATTATCTTTCTTGCTTTCTTGCACCGGATCGACAACCCGAAAGCGAGGGAAATCGATGGAAAACAACGAGAAGTAGCCAGTGTTTTGCAACTTATGTTCTAAGTCATACAACTATCACTTCTATATTCTTTTTCCCGAGTAATCGGCTGACCTTATTGATTAACTAACGGGAATACAACATACCAAACAAATTGAAACACACGTGGACAACAAAGGTCACTGATAAAACTAAAAGTTACATCAATGACATTCGAAGTCATCTCTAGCTCCACCTTCTGTATACTAACACTCCTTGAAAACTACGGTAAAAAAATCACAGAAGACTTACACATGCAAAATGGACTAATGTCAAAAGTTTTAAAGAGCCACTTAGGTCACCCACCCCAAATAGGTGAGAACCTTAGGTCGGTGAATGTGCCGTGGCCAAGGAGACACCCGTCACAAGTTGTAAGACATGTTACCGAGCCACAAATTTGTCAGAAGTTCCATAAAAAAAGAATGAAACAAGAGAACCACTGGCAAAACACTACGAAACGAACAACGAGTCGTCAAATTATAACCAATGATAACCGCATCACGATGGGCTCTCCGAAATCGACCACAACCATTACACCTGACTAGGACAAAACTGTGAGATTTGTT